GACGACTATAAATCTTGTACCAAAGTATGATTACAACGTGCGTGCTTTCATTATGTATATGGAAGTCACTTAATACCCGCTTCTATTCTTTGTATCGCCCACGCACTTTTTTACGTAATGTCAGGCTATTAACTTAACGAACTGTACAATGGTCTTGGTTTTAAGTATGTTTTTATAGCTATTATAGTAAAACGTGAAAAATACAATCCGGAAACTTAGGAAATACCATTTTTTATATATCAAAAGTTAGATTTGTATAACGGCCGAATACTGGAAAGAAATTTAAAAATAAACAGCGGCTTAAATGATATGACCACGCCTTCTATTAGTGATCACAATCAATCGTTTTTCGAAGGTCCTTTAAAGTCGAAGTGCTATTGAAATTTTGACGTCTGTCAGATTGTCAAATTGTAAATGCTTACAAAGCAATGTTTTAGTTTTCGACCGTAGATTTCTTAATATTATTTTTCACTTTATAAAATACGAGCTGTTGCCCGCGACTTCGTCCGCGTGGTATTAGAAAACATATGAACTATTTAAATAACAAAATGTTGCAGAATGATCGAGTAAACATTAAAAAACTAAATTAATGAATCCCACGGGAACCGTAACTTATCCCGGAATAAAAAGTAGCCTATGTGTTCTTCCAGACTATGCTCAAAACGCAGCCAAATTTCATGGAGATCCGTTCAGCCGTTTAGGCTACAAACGCTAACAAACATCCATCCATCGATCCATCCATCTAAACTTTCGCATTTATAATATTAGTAAGATTTTAGTGTTTCGTATTCAAATCATATGTGATCATTATAAATTTATGCAGAATTATTACTACATATTTGTAAAGCATAGAAATCGTTGCAATTTCGCTGTCAAAATTCTCCACATTAAATTTCAACTCCCTAAATACGGACAGTTATCTAGATATTCCATCTGTTCCGTGAAATGTAGTCATAACTATAATGGTTGGATGTTCACCACAATCGGAAGGTCGAAATTATATGTAGACAGTACAGAAACCTAGTACAAGCTAACGTGCGATGTTATCTATGTGATTTTTTTTTTATTTATTTT